CTTTTTTGAAAAGAAAATTCATTCTGGAAATCGAACTGGCATAAGGCTTGAGTGCCATGAATGTTTTTCATGTGGACTGTCTAAAAATACACCAGAACTGCTTTACTTAATCGTGAGTAATCTTATTCTAGTAAGCAAGCAAGAGTCAGGCACAGCTTCCCCAGCCATGTAGTTAGCATCACTGCATGTTAAAAGAGCAAAGAGCATGGTCATGAGGGTTGCCACAGCAGGCTGATAAGAAAAAGTCAACGGTACATCCGTGTGAAGCAATACCGACATCAAAATCTAAAAACAATTAGTGACACAGAACCTCTTTCCTAAGAAAATATCCTGCACTCCCATGATACAAGTGAGACAAACATTTGCTTTCATGCTTAAGTTATGCACACTGAAGTGATTCCTCAATAAGGAGTTTTTACTGAAAGTAGGTACAGAGGAACTACTTAATCGTGCAACTTCATGATCAGCTTACTGCGAGTTGGACAGAACCTAAGCCTAGCTAGTCTGAGCAGCCAGTCCACAACGAGACGAGGAGGCTCCTCTGCCCAGCAAAGCTTTTGGCCCCATTCCTCTTCATTTCCTGACAGTGTGCGAGCGGAATCACTGCAAGACAAGCGGCGTGACCCAGCACCTAAAGTAAAAAATGCCACAGTAGAATTACCTGAAAACCACCTTCATTCAAAGCTCTGGCACCATAGGCAATCCTTTTTCCACCCTCCAAAGTCGGCTGTACACTGGGATGGTGCTTCCACCTCTGAAACTCCCTAAATGGATTCAAATAGGGATTTTGATAATCTAAGCCAACCTGAAAAAAAAAGAAAAATTAAATGCAAACCACAGAAAATAAAGTATGACATATCAACGAAGTCGGAAAAGAAAACAATTGTGTCTTGCCACATCAACACTTCAAATCTATTTCACATTGAACTAACCCCAGGATCTTTCTACTTAAAGAACTACTGCCAAAAGTGCATTCTATCAACACTACGGTAGAAGCAAGCCTGAGGATTTTGACGGACCTACCCAAAACCTGAATGAAGCATGGAAAGTGTTTAATTGCACTGTAAGCGCCTTCCATCTGCCTTTGAAATAAAACAGTGACATTACATTAAAAATGGTTTAGTGGGGAGAATTTAACTTTTAAATTTGTGTTCAAAAACTGTTTCCTCCAGACAAGCAGGAGGAGAGAGGCAAACAATTATTTCTAGATAGTTATGTCCTTGCACTCACAGATTTTAAGCAGTTCTTCACATGATTTAGCTGAGTCAGTTATAACTTCAATAAATTCTATAATGCACCAGAGAGCAATGAGGTAAACAGAAAATGGGAATAGGGGGCAAAATAAAAAGATTACTCCAGTGGGCTGAAAGCCCAGGATTCACATTTCGTGTGAGAACTTGCGCAAGGATACACCCTGCATTTTCCATCTTTAATATATATTTAAAGAACTTTTATTGCTGAATTTTCTCTTTGTCAAAAGGAATTATTTCTGGCTCCTTTAAGATTTCAGACAACACACATATCGAGTCAGCAACACACAGTTCCTCGACTTCTCTAGCCACTCAGTGCTTTCAGGAACTGCACCTGCTTTTCTTGCTAGATTTCACAAACGATTTTCAAAATAAATAAGATAATACTATTCCAAGAATCAGCCGAGACATGACAAAGGTATAAAGTTCAAACAGAAAAAGTTCGTGTATGTGCACAAAGAAGTTGGATTTTCTCCTATTTGAACAGGAGATACGAATATGTAATATTAATGTTTTCATTCAAACCTTACTCACCACAAACCCAAGAGCAACTAAAGGTTCACCCTCATTTAAGTGATAAAGAAAGGATCCTCCATAAGTATGTCTGTCTAAGGGCCAGCCGACAGTATGTTCTATTCTTCCTGGTTTCCACTTCTTTTCATCAATAGTCCATAACTGAAATGAAGAAAGTGTTTTAATAACCAAAGTAAGGGTCTGCCAATAATACAAAAGACAAATACATAACTAACTGCATAAGGAAAAAGGCTGCATAAATAATACTTTGAATTTACTATGCTATCACTTAAGTTCATACAGCTAAAGATGAAGCATTGAATTACAACTACTTCTGTTGGATTATTGTTTAAGTATTTGCTATTAGTTCTCTTGCTTGAAATGCTGTACATCAGAAAACCTGAGACTCCAGCACTAACCCCCAAATTTCATTTTAACCACAAGATCTTGCTTTTCATTGGTGATACCAATGAATAATTCTGCAGCGAATGCAGTGACTACATTGACCTTTTTCTTTGAGAAACATTATTAGAGCTTAACTGGTTGGCCGAGTTGATCTAAATACTTGCTGCCCTGAACAGGTTGCCCTGTGTCCACTCTCTCCTGCACAGCTCTAGTACTCATCTGACCCATGCTGATTTTGTAGAATCTTCGTTTTTTTTTTTACTAATGGGTCAAATTTCTGATTATCTGACCAAACATTTCTTTACCATGGAAGTACAGTTCCAGCTGCAGCCTCGTGACAGAAGGAGAGTGGAGCTATTTAGCAGTCAAGCACCATTAGATCAGCTTAGGCATGGAGGGAACATCTAGTTACTGTCTAAATGGATTAAGGAGTGCATTTTTGAGCAAGACTCTTGGTTGTCCCCACTTACTGTACTTTGGTTTGCATCATGAAGCAGCCATGAACTGGATTCCTCACATGAAACTAAACTGGAAGACAAGCTCCAGGAGCCCATCTAGAGCATCCAGCTGTAAATGGGCACTCAGTTCATGGGACCAGACTAGGCTAGGGCAAAGTAAAAATAACCCTGAAATGTGCATAGCATGGATGTGAGCTCAAAAGCACCAACCATTTCACTTTACAGATCCACTCCTATTGGTCTGGACCATTTGCTAAAGCAGTCGTAGTGAAACCTCAGTCTCATCTGAAAACACAGGAACTCTATGGCAAAACTCTGCTTGAATTATGACTTAGGTATTAAAAATTGTAATTAAGACTATGATATACATGGCAACATTTAAAGAGCAGTTAATAGCCATAAAATTATAAAATAATCATTTTACAGATATTTTGTATTTGGAAATACATGCTTAAAGAGATGGAGAAATGAATCTGTTATAGTCAAACCATGTATAGACTCTAAATAGAACAGCTCTTTTTCATCAGTAATAGTTTAGTTCAAGTTTTACTAAGTATAAAAGATATATATGTATAAAAGATAAAAATAAAAATTGACCCCCATTCAGGAATTTTTGGGAAAAAAAAGCTTATTTATAAGGTGCTTCAGATAGCATGAATCACCTCCTGGAACAGCCCCTTTCGCTCTCTAATGAGCACACAGCCCTCAGAAGGTTTTTCTTTCCTGAGCAGGTGCCCCTTTCTCCCCTGCCCCAAACCCCAATAAATATAAAATTAGACAGTGTGAATTCTTTGCCCATTTACTGAAACTGCTGAAATTAAATACAGGCAACAGATTTCACAGGCGAAATTAAAGTGGCATCAGGCATCTAGCAGGGTGGATTCAGAGGCTACACTACTTCTAGCTCTAAGTGTACAAAAAGTAGCCAAAATGAAACAGTTGCAACATTCAGAGAACAAGCCTCTCTGACCAACTCTAGAATTAAACAAAGATTGTGGAGTTTGGGAGTGAAACTCAAAACTTATCATTCTAACCTTTTATAAACAGAAACAACTAGTTTATAGCTTTACAGTATCTTCTTTAGCTGTTACAACTGTGCACAGGATACCTCTTTCAAGCCAATGCCATAGCTCTGGGGTTGACAGTTCTCCCTCAGGTTGTATTTCTTGTACAGCTGTTTGGCTAGATGTCCATGGCAACCTTCAGCAAAGATTGTGACCTTAGCATGGAGTTCCAGGCCTCTTTCAAAAGTAGCCTGTAAAAGCAGACATGGAATTAGCCATTTAGATCTGTGCCACACCAAACTCACCACAAGAGAACGCAGGTCAGGAAGATGATTTTACAGCACCTTGTGCCACTGCAAACCATCACATGCTGCAGCTCTAATCCAGCTGGCCTTCCCATCTAACCATGATGCATTCCCAGCAAGGCTAGTTAGGGGATCTGATTAGAGCGAGCAGCACTACAGTTAATCATCACTCTTCTACTGCAAAGAATCTTTTCTGGATCAGACAGATCCTTATATCACATCAGCTTGTTCACCAGTTGCAAAGGAGCCCCAAGAGAACAAAGAATCTTGACCCATAACTTCACATTTTAAGTTCTGCTCATAAAAATCACATTATAATGAACCATTGTTCCAGGTATGCACATGGGACAGAGGCTACACAGAAATGCCACACCATCGAAACCTATATTACTCTCACTCCAAAATGAAATAACCCATCACGCCTCAGAATAATGTTTCCGTAACAAATATTCAGTCTTAAATGTTAAAACATATAATAAAATTGCTTTAGTATTAGATATCAGCACTGAACAATTTCTCCCCAATTTTTTTACTGGAGGCAGTATCAGCTGACCTAATAAAAGAGCTGCTCATACACTTGAATGCTCACAGAAGTTTGCAGCAGCGGCAGACTACATATTTACAAATTAAAGAAGTGAGCAGATAAAGTGTTTATAAAAGACATGTTCTCACAAAAGAAAAAGGATTTTTTTTCTAGATTTTGCAGAAGCTTTAAAAAAATTCATAGTTTGGGGCTTTGGCACTGCAAATTAAATGAGCTTTTAACTGCTACAGCAAAGGTATGTATTACTTGCACCTCCTACTGAAGAAAACATATAGCTGAAAAGAAGTGTGTGCGTATCCACATGCATAGTCCTGGAAAAAGGCAATATTACACAATAGCCTTATTTTTCCCTACCTTCAGTTCCTCCTCCAATGGTTTGTTATTTTAAAACAAGAACGAATCCTTTCTTCTCACCCCCTATTTTAAATGGAGAAAATAACCCAGAGGTTTCCTAATGTGGAATTAAACTTGAATTTTCATGCAAGTAGGAGAAAAAGCTTTATAGTCAAATTTGAGACAAATTTCAGATGGAATCCTGTAGTTGGCATTCCCGTAGTTAGCTCACTCTGTTGTCTGAAGTGCTGGGTTTGCCCTGTGTGCTGCATGGGGAACCAAGAGGCTTGCGAGGGGCTGTGGATCTTGCTGAGGTGGCCAAAGTCCAACACTCGGGGCCAGACCCAGCAAGCAAAGCTGTGTGGGCCACCAGCAAACAGGTAGGAAGATCCCGTGTGTACCTTGCCCCAGCACTGCAGACAGTCTGTCAACAAATGTGACAGCAGCTGTAAATGCCATGGAAAAATCGGCCACAGAACCTCTCCTACACTGTCAGCCACCATTTGGATGAGAGCTCTCCATGCCACCTCCTCTGGGAGCTCCTGGAACTCTGCCTTTGCTCCCTGAACACACATGTGCCAAAGCACCCTTGCAATTTGCCCTTCGAGTCCCTCAAGCAAGCCTCTTTTCTGCAAAGGCTTTTCCCACTGATTGCAGAGGCAGCTTGCATTATTCTGAAACTAAAACTTCCATGTGTCAAACCTCTGCATAAGTAGGGCTGGAAGAACTGAATCCTTAAGATTCAGTACCGAGTAATGTAACTTTTCTCAAGATGTGTCAAAGTTACTGAGGACACCAGAAACAGATATATCAATTCCATAATTGAAGTTCTAGATACCGAAAAAAAGGTTACTTACTTTAGGTGCTCCATCCTTCTGAATGCCTACATCATTAGTTGCAATCCCTTTCACACTACCATCTTCATGAAAAAGAACCTTTGAAAATATTGTAATAAAAATCAGAAAATAATAACTTCCGTTTTAATCCATTCATTTAAAAAAGCACCTTCAGAATTTATAAGCACTGAGTCTTTCAGTCATCTAATGGTCAAGATTATGCATTTGCTCAGGTACTCTGTGGTCCACTTGCCCTTTTCTGGATCTGGGCTGGGAATTTGGGGCATTGACAAACATTTTTTTTTTTTAAGTGCACTTCTGTGAAGAGGAATCTTGTGAATGCACAAGTGCTAAGGGGTGAAGTAGGGTGCAGGACCTCTCCCATAGACACTGATATTGTTGTTACCTCAGCAGCTGCGTAGCCTGGGTACACCTCAACCCCCAGGGCCTCCGCCTGCTCGCCCAACCACGCGACGAGGTGTCCCAGCCGCACTATGTAATTGCCATGATTAACCATCGGAAGTCCTAAGAAAACAAAAAAATTGTACACGTCACCTTTTGCATCCTTTGCTGCAACTTCACAGCTGTGAAGACACAGTAGGGTCATGTGTCATTACAGCCTTATCACAGTCAATTACCGTATTGTATAGATACTCACTGTCCTACAGTGAAACAAAATTGCTTCATTTATGGAAAAGGTGAAAAAGACACCAAGAAAAAGGCACTTCACCAAAGAGTTCTTCGTTGAATGTTACCTGGGAGCATTGGCACTGGAATTCTATATTTCTTTGTTAAAATTCCAAACTTGTCTTCAGTTACAGGAGTATTAAGTGGAGCCTAGACCAAAAAAAAAAAAAAAAAAGTACTACTGAATGATTTTTTCCTGTCAGGAAAAGATAAAATAAAATAAAAAATAAATCAAACTGGCAGCCAGTGAAAGACCTAATAAAGCACTTCTATAGGACAGACATACTTCTCGCAATAGAAAAGATAAGGTACCCTAATGAAACAGTCATCAGGCAAGACTGAACACAGCTACTGAACAAACAAAACTGTACAATGTCTTCTGAGTTTGTACATATGCATGTACCACATCACAAAAATCAGTGTACTGGACATCATTTTCTGAGCACATGCAAAAATGCTGTGTAGAAGCAGCAAGTCTGACATTGCAAAGAATCCATTATCTTACTGCTTATGCACGGGACTTGGATTCTGCACAGAGGCAGCAAACCTGCACGTACTTTGCATGTGCAGTAAAACTACCGTAGAAAAACCTAAGGCAACAAGATATTTTTTAGACATAAAAGTTAGCACTGATGGAAACAGACTAGAAATAAGTTAGGTGGGGGTTTCTTTGATTGTTTTGGTTTTTTACAGGTCACCACACTTTCAATGGAACAAAGGTATACAAGAAGGAGTTTATCCCAGCCTAGAGATGGACTGCAATGTTTATACGTTCATACATACCCCCCGCTCCTTCCAATCTGGAAAAAGTTCTTCTAAGGCCCGTGGCTCCAGACAGGCACCGGAAAGGGTGTGCGCTCCAATCTGGGAGGCTTTTTCCACCAGACAAACACGTATTTCTTTGCCGTGCTCCGTGGCTAACTGCTTGAGCCGAATAGCTGCAGAGAGACCCGCAGGGCCCCCTCCGACTACGACAACATCGGCTTCCTCTGCAAACCTTTCCATGTTGACTCCTACAAAACATGACAAAACAGACGTATTTCAGATCTTCCCGACTCTCTCACTAAATCACACCTTGTGACACTGCTACCACACACAAATAAAAAAAGGATAATTCCACAGGATATTTGGTAGGGTAGAAGGACATCAGCGTTTACTTAGTCACTTTAAAATCAGCTCTTTGGCAGTGATAAGATGTGCCATAAAAACATATTCAACCTCTGTATGTTGTAGAAAAGCACCAGCAATGTTAAAAATAAGAGAACAGTGGCTTAGCTGTCTTGAAGACATTTGGTAAAACGCAAGGGAAGAGAGAAAGAGAAGAAAAAAATCCTTGCTCAGAACAAGTTATTTTAGTTTACCCTAATTCATCAGGGACAGTTCTGGAAACTCAGCTATTAAAATTGCTGTACATGCAAACAGTGGCCAGAGATATATATTCCCCTTATTTTGTCACAAAATGCCCCTGCGAGAACAACTGAAAAAGGCAAAATATACAGACCCAAATGAATTAAATCTGATTGTGTTAATTATCTAAGTAAAAATAATTTATGTATTTTCTTGACATAGCTAGAATCAAGTTCAAATCTGACCCAATTTTACACTGCTAAATACAGTAATTGTGAGCCAACAACACAAAATTACACTTCAGATACTAGTACTTAACAGAATCTCTGCAAAAAGAAAAAAAAGCAGCATCACATTGCAGTGTTGTTAAAACTCAGTCATAATAAAGTACTTAACAGAACCTCTGCAAAAAGAAAAAAAAAGCAGCATCACATTCCAGTGTTGTTAAAACTCAGTCATAATAATACAAACAAGCTTTTAAAAGGCCTGCTTTCCCTTACCTTCCCATCGTTTGTCTTTGTCCCGAGGGTGAATAGTATAGTGTGTAGTTATGCGAGGCACAGAGGTAGCAGATGCGTATCCTGCCGTAGGCACTGACGGGAGGCAGCTTCTCTTTATCAGCTTTAAGGCACGAAAACACAGACATGCTGAAAGAACAACAACAGATTTGTCAAATCATTTGCTTCCTCAAATGTTCTGTTTTCAGAGACAGAAGTGGCACACCAAAAAAGACAGCACATGACAGCACTAATGAAGGAGAAATTAAGATGAGGAAATGTATGTACAGATTTTTAAGTTTTCAGCAACCATGATTTTTTCTTTTTTAATATAAAATTACAAATGTACCAAGTAGGGAGCTTTCCCTTTAAGTGCATACCACTCAAGGACCAAGGACACCAGCCACCCAGTAAGTGTGACAGCTGACATACCATACCGTGCACGTGCAAAGGGAAAAGGCATTTTAGGTTCCTATTTCATTTTTAACGTCAAAAAGATTTATTGCAGACATCACTAAACAGGGCTGGACAACTGCAGAGAGGACATGCAAGTTCATCCCTTTCACAGTCTTAATGCATATTCAGACACGCAGCCTGGGCTGCTTGTTCATAGCAGCTGATCTAAGGTTAGTGTCACAATCTACAGTAAAAGCCAAGACTGAAATAAATATACCTTGGTAAAGCTAGGAAGAGATAGAGCCTACAGAAACTTTAATTATCGCCACAACAAATTAGTCATTCTCATTAGGCAAGTTGACCAATACACGAGTTTCAAATAAACAAAATGAGGCCAAAGGGCACGTCACGTGCTTGTTCTAATTTCCCACTTTCACAAAAATCAATCAACCATGCTTTCAAGTTGTATTTGTGTGATCTGTACTCAGAGAACTAGTAAGCGCAGCACCAAAACTAGTTACGGTTATCGAGTTTGTCAGCTAATGCACGCTCAGAGGTATTTTTTCCTTCATTACAGACTCCCTTAGTCCAATTTTAAGGCCGAGGGGGAGAATACTGCACCTGCAACGCAGGAACTCTGCAAAGGTGCGCGATGGAAACGGCCAGCGGTGACTAATGAGGCCACTGCACCCATCCGCCACCATAACTGCATGGTGGCAGCTGAGGCACTGGTCTGTGCATGCACGGTAATGACCCAAAACTATCCCCTGTGCCAGTTTCTTAACAGCAGCTTTGCACGTACTGTGCATAGCATAAAAGTTCCTGCCATAAGCAACAAGTGTTTCTTACCAAGGCGCAGAGGAGCCCTTTACAGGACAGCTTCAAAAAGGCACCTGGGAACAAGCTACTTCATATGCAGGGTAACAACTGCGCCAATACACACCCGAACGCGATACCTCAACTTCGTTTTTGAGATGCCTTACTTGAGGCAGCCACACAGCACTGTCAGAAATACACTCACGACTTGGCAAAAATAAAGCGTCAAACCGAACAAACAAGCAAACGAAGGACTAGCCCAGACGCTGCAGGTGCCAGAGGATCATTCCACCCTGCGAGGACATTTACCCGAGCGGAGAGCCCCCCGCAAAGGAGGGGACAACCCCCAAGCCTCCCCAGGGGCGACGCCGACGAGGCGGCCGGGAGCAGCCCGGCTGGCGGCGCCACAGCCGCGCCGACCTTTGCCCCAGTTCCGCGCGGCGGCACCGCGCGACCCGGCGCCCCGCGCTACCTCGGCTGGAGGACGAGCAGGAGGGCGGCAA